GGATGCAGAATCTGGTGGTCTCAAATCAGGGGATAAGATACAAGAGGCCACAGGAAAACAGTCACAATCTTAAATGGTTGCATTTTATTCAAATTCCCTAAGTAGGCAAGGTCTGTAAGGGTTACCTACTGATTCACACCCTTTAGAAATAGTCCCCAAACCCAATATGAAACTAAGAATCACTAAGATCAAAGATGCACCCAGAAGAAATTTATGAATTTATCTTTGCTTTATGGTAGAATGCAAAGCTAGAATCTAGAAATTCTAGTCTAACAATAGGGAGTAGTTTTACAGGAACAGAGTAATCACTCAAAAGTTGCATTTTCTGCACGTTCACATATGCAGAATGAAGTTTTAAATGTTGAATGGAACTATTTTTTCTATTTACAATAAAAAGTAAAAGCTTTAGAGTCAACTCAACGAGAAAATGTATAATGTATCATGCAATTATTTTTAGGAACTATCAGATAACCTCGTAAGTTATTTCCTCCAACTGTCTAATTTAAAAGTTATACATCTTTGCTCTCTACAAGATTCATTTTCTTGACCATGAATATATCAGGAACAGACTGACCCCAACCTGAAGCCAGGTGACAGCTGCTTCAAAAAGTCTAATCTGCTTACTGACAAAACCAGAAAGGGAATAAATGAATGATTGCTATTGATTCCCATGAAGGCTCTACACAGACCCAGTAACTTCCCTGGATTAGTATAGACAGAAGCCAATTAGCTTTATTTCATATGTAAATAGCATCATAAAGAGGTACAGAAAATAATTCATTGGATTGCTTTCTCCTGAAACACTAGGCACACATTTTGAAAGTCACTTCAAACACAGTTCTTGCTTATGGAGCTCTCTCTTTCTCTTCGGCAGGAATTTTTTAAATAAATTCAAACTCATCCAGCTGTGTATATTCAAGAAATACCAAAAAGTCACAAGGCATAGTAAGTTTCAGCTGTTCTCCTCTCTCTGTGTTATCAATAACACATAATGAGTTAGTTCATACATCATCACAGCTGTGCAGGCCAGAGCTAACTTGGCTAATTTAACTATTCCAGTAGAGTTCAGTCAGGAGCTCGGTCTACTTTAGATAATCCACTCTGCAAGTCATATAGAAAAGAACAGCATGTGCTCTCCATTATCACTAATAAGCAATTCTTCTCCTTTCACGCAGTTCCTGTGAAGTCTTCTAATGGTACTGTCCCTTGGACAATTTTTTAAAAAACAGAAACAAACTTCTAAGAGCAATGAGCAATCAAAATCACTCAAAACTAATGAACTACAGCTATGACAACACTCTAGGCTTAAGCCCCAAAACTTCTTTTAGCAATAAGTTTTAATTCTAGAGAGGAGAAAAGAACACTATCTTCTGACAAAAATTAACCATGGAGTCAGTGTTTGCAACCTTCTTCTTCATCCCTTTTTCAGGAAATTCAGAATTAGAAATAAGTCACTGGTCATATTTCCACCTATAGGTTACCTCCAAAATAAGGTCAGCACAGTGCCTCTTCCTTATGGGTGATAATAACTATGAGACTATTCTGGCACACTTAAAAATGAATGTAATGTGAAAACTAATGGCGATCTCAGTTGCTAAGGGGAGATTTGCACATTCTCTACAATGGTATTCTGCAGTTAGTGAGACCCCTTTAAAAGCGCTTAGTCCTGCCATTTAGTTATCATTTTCTACTAAGGATGAATGCCTAAACTGTCTATGTTTTCTTAATGGAAAACACAACATTCAATGTTGTTTTCTTAACTGTGTATTTGGATTTGGAAATTCTCCAAAGCTCATCCTGTGTGCAAAAGAAGCCTCAGCATCTAAATATGGGGAGTTCATACATACAACCAGTTTTCAGTTGATGTTGCAGATGTACAAAAGCAGTGAGAAAGCAAAGTAGAATAATATAATTTGGAGTGAAGGCAAAATTGGAAAAGAATAGTTTAAATAATTTCATTATAATGAATCAAATAAGCACTTTTATTATTGAAATCCCATTTTTATATGTGTTTTTAGTAGCTAAGCATCTTGACTAATAGTTGGAAGGTACCTGTCAACTTATCTAGCTCAACTTTCCTTCCATTCACTCTTAAGAATAAAATGAACACTGCACATCTCATTTGAGTTAGGTTAGATGTTAAATCCATTTGCAAAAACCAAAGAATTTCATCTACACAGTGTGAAACTATGAACTCTTATCTGTGCTTGAGATGCAGAACTATGAACTTTCCCCAAGTTCCACACAATGAACTATTATGGGTATAGTATATAATAATGATTTACCAAGTCATATAAACTGCGGAAAACAAGTGGGATAAACAACTGCCATTCATTATTCCTGAATCCAGAGACTGCCAGGTTCGGCTTGGGCATGTACACAGCTGAACACACACTTCCTGGTTATGTGCAATCTGCACAGATAGACCAGCTTTACAGGCCTGACCACAGAGATTAATAGCTTTAGCCAAATAATGTGGTAACCATGTGAACCTGGGCTGCTCCAGCTTGTTTGTGAATCTCTCAGCAAGGCTCAACATGCCGTTATCTGCATCTTGTTGCCAGGAAACACAACATCGCTTTGGAATACAAGGAAAACCAGGTTGCAGTGACCACAGGTCAACTTCCCAAAAACCCAATTTTTGACACTTAGCTATCTACAATCTTACAACATTTCTTACTGTAGTCCACGGTGAACTTCACTTTACTAGTAATTAACAATACTTTTGGCTATTTTTATCAGGGCAGGATCACTTACCACCAGTAACAACACAGTGCCAGCAATAGTAACTATAATGATAATTCTCTCAATCTTTTCCTCTCAAGTGTCAAATAAATATTTACTTCCTTAAAACTGGGTTGGAAATCAAGCACTCACTGCAACTACTTTATAACTGATCCAACAATGAATGCATATGTCTATGCATTTCCTCTATGTCTATTTTTCAGCAAAGAAAGTTTACCAAAGGATAAAATACTCAATATGCTGCTGTCCTAAGAGTTCCTGGATTTTCTGGGATCAAAATACCTGTCTTGTCTTGCTCATAGTAAGAGAACATAATGTGTTGGACAATAATCCTGCTAGTTTCTTCTCAACCAATTCAAACAGACAGAAACTTAATGTACCAAGATGCTCAAGTACTCAGCAGACTGGAAATCTGCTTCATAAAAGTGAAGTGGGAGGCCACTGTTATGCACAGTTTTGCAATCTGGAGATGGAAGGATTAGAGTGGCTTTGAGAGTATATAAAATTAATTACCCTTGAAATACCAGTTAGAATTGCTAGTTCATAGGCAACAGAGATTTTGGACAATAACTTATTAAAAAGATTTTTAAGGCAAAATGGAAAACATTTTTCTCTCTTCCAATGCTTGCTTAAAAAAAATAAGTCAAAAGTAGTCAGCTTTATTACAGGATCTAATTCTGTAATATTCTGCTACCCAAGCAGGACAGGATCTTGAGTGCATTATATTATCAAGAGAATATATTTATGATCAGGAAAACTATATTCTTGATATAAGGTTTACTTTTATCCCAAGAGGTCTTCTACATAATAATGCCTCTAAACTTGGGCTTTATATTGCTTTATATTGCTTCTCATCTAGCTCCACAGGTAGCTTTTGAAACACAAGATGCAAAATTCCAGTCTCATGATAATAAAATTGCTAAAAAGACAGACAGGTCTGTGTACTGAAATATTCAAAGAAAACCACTTACCTAATTCTAAATGGGAGCAAGAGAAGTTAAACAAAGGCCAGGTTACTGTGATACCAACAATGCTCTGGCACTGTTAGAACACGGAAGGTTAACATCAAAACTAACAGAATTGGACAACATGGAAATAGATCACTACCACCATTTGCCTTCAGACTCTCCAAACACAAGTCATATAACTTATTAGTGAACAAAACTGACTCTCCACAAAGTTCTTCTGAACTTTTGAGTTAGGATAGTTAGCTTGTTTTAAGTCCCTTTATATTACAGGAGAAACAATTTAGGAATACAAAGATCAGTGCTTATTATACAACCATTTTTGCCTAGCAAAATGTAGTGCAACTACATTATATGTAGCAACTATTATTTCTCTATTTCCAAGTTCATTAAAGAATGCAGATGTGGGAATTTCAGTTCCCATATCAGTGAATAATGCTTGGATATCCATACTAAAAGAATCAATTTATTTATTGAGTTGGCCAGAAAGGTCATTTGGGTTTTTCTATACAATCTTTTTTCCAAATGAACTTCCTGGTCAACCCAATATAGGTCTTGCCTACAAAAACATGAGGATAACTGCTTTTATGTAAATGACAAATAAATATGTCCACTGGCATAGATTTTCCCTTCACTCACTGTTAAAAGACTCTTTCAGGTTTAAAAAAATACTGAGTTGTGGAACAGTTTATCTGGAAGATAAATAGAATAATAAAATTAATGGCAAAAAGCTTTAAGGAAACTAAAAAAGAACCTTAACATGTTTGGGCATAATTCAGAAGTTTGGGAGGGTCTCAGAATCATTCACAGAAAAATTTTTTGAACTATTCAAAATGAAAAGAGGGTCATGAAAATCTTCAACTACCACTACTTTCTTTTAAAAATATAGCAATTTCTGAGTATGCAAAACTTTAAAATTAGATAAATTAAACATTCATAATTTATAAGATTCACCACTGATTTTCTTTCAAAAGCAAGCTCTCCTGTGTGATAAAATAGTATTTGATTCACAGTATTCAATGTATATGCAAGTTCTCAGTCACACACATATTGCGCAGAGTGACATCTGAATTGTTCAAATCATAAAACCTTCATTGTTTGGTTAGATAAATAGCCTGCATTCAACTGCCATGAAAAATCAGGATAGCACATAGCCAAAAGAACAAAAGTAGAAAAAGAGGATAAAACCTGTTAGGTTACTACTGAAAGAAACCACCCTACTAAGCCTTTAGCCTTTTTACCTTCTCTCTAGGATTTAACAATAACTCTAGAGTAGTTATGAATACATACCCATACTTCATTCTCATTCTATCATTTTCTGGGTTACAGTAAAATCTTTCCAAGTGCTCCTGGGAGTCATTGGATACACTCTGCCACTTTTGCGTAGTTGTCCTCTTGATCTGCCAGTGATATGGCAAGATCGTGTGGTGCTTCAAACAATCCCTGCCATAAATACAAGTGCCTTGCAAAAAGTCCATGCAAATTTCAATTCCATTCTCTTGGTGAGTGTGGTACTGTAGCTGGTTCACCAGCTCAAACACAAGGTCAAGGGAGGCCTCCTCACTTTTGTCCTGAAAGAGCTCGGTACTCAACTTGTCACTGGTGTTCAAAATGTACTGGATTGTAAAACTGTTGTCTTGGAAAACCCCTGGAACATAATCCATGACTTTGTCTATGCAGTCAGGACTAGCAGGAACATCACTTGAAACTGGGTGCAAAATGTCAGTCTGGAAGTGCCCTGCTGTAGAATCTGCCACTGTCCCACTGATGGTTTCTGGTGGAAAGTTATGATCCTGGATTGGAACCACCTGCTCTGGAGCATCAGTGGGAGGAGGGGCTTCTGGCATCTGGCCCCCAACATTTGTCCCATCAGGAATCAGGACAGACATACTGTTTTCAGTAGGTGGACATGATGTGTTGATTTCCAAGGGTTTCTTCACCATAGGTTCATGTAAGCTGCTCTCTTCTGCACTCTGGTTTCTAGATCTAAAAACCCCATCAAGTGAGCCAGATTCTAACAAAGTGTTTAATATTGGCCTCAAAGACCTCAAGGTTCCAGTTCCCAACCTCTTCTGATCTTTTTTCTTAAAACAAGTCTTCAATGGAGTGATCTTTTCAGAGAGTCTCACTGGGCATGAAAATTCATCAGGAGAAGGAGGCTGTACTACACAATCTGGCTCAGGTTCAGTGGTTTCCACTTCCATGATGTGGATTAGCTCCAATTGCTCCTCAGTCTAAAAATCCTATAAGGAAAGGAAAGAAGATCATTTACAAGCTGACAACAACAGAATCCTTTTCATTCATCATTATGTTTTGTCTCTAAGTTCCTGAAATCCTTTCTCCTATACTATATTTCATCTTTACAGGTCACTTTTTAATTTTGTTGAGAATCAAGGCTCCAAAGGAGCCAAGGTTATTCAAAAGCCCACAGACAAGTAAAGATGAAACAGATAGCATCTTCTCCACTAGGCTCCTGACATTTATTTGTGGACTTAATATAAAATGATTTGTAATTCTGCTGGGATATGAATTTTTACAGTTTAAGTCTAGGATGGAGTGGAGAGAGGGGTAGAAATATGTGCATCTATGACAGTGGGGAAACCACATCTCTATTGCTTTGTGGTTCTCTTCACAGTTGTTTATGTATCTCCTGTCTCACGAGGTGACAAAAACTGTAAAAAAAAAAAAAAAAAAAAGTTTGTCAAATGCAGGAAAAACTGCAAATTAACTGTGAGTGAATTTGCGGTATGAGGCTATATACTCAGGAAGCAGGCTCTCAACTGAAATATTATATGGGAGAAAACCAGGAACCTGTTGAAGCACGTCTAGATGCAGAAAGTTCCAATATATTCCCCAAGGATGTTAAGGGTCTACTTTTGCAATCCCCAAAACATTACCACTAGTAGCGGAAGAATACCAGGGTTTATTTAGCAACAGAAGCTATATCAGCAACAACCACTGCACACTGTTTTAGAAACCAAACACAACTTCCTAATACGGAAAGGGGCCTCCCTGTCTTCAGAAAAGCTACATATGTGAATTAAAAAAAAAAAAGACAAATGAAGGCACAGAAAATAACACAAGAAAACAAAACACAGCAAATTTCAGATTCCTAATGAACTACACAGGAACTTAAAAAGTGATCGGGTGGAGAGGGAAGTGGGAGGGGGGACCGGGATGGGGAATACATGTAAATCCATGGCTAATTCATTTCAATGTATGACAAAAACCACTGCAATGTTGTAAAGTAATTAGCCTCCAACTAATAAAAATAAATGGGGAAAAAAAAAAGTGCTTTCTCTGAAGAATCAGACCCATTGAAAAAAACTAGAACTTAAAAAGCAAAGAAAACTTTGCAAAATGATGAATGGTGTCTCCTCAACAATCTAGCATTCATTAACTAATTCTGAAAATATTACTGAGCATTATGCCAGGTGGAAAAAGGGTGGTGATGAGCAATTAATCCTCTTCTCCCTTATCCAACAGACTGAAAGAAATCTTTGCTGCAAGGGCTCATGATTTAAGTATGCATCCAGGGTACAGTGCCTAGCACACTGCACACAGTGGGTGCTCCATGATATTTTCTAGCTGAATTATTGAAGAAAAAGCACCAATTAAATGGCAAGTTCCGTGAGCCTTTATGGGTCAAGAAAAGCAACAAAATGAAAAAAATTGAGTCCCCAGAAAAACAAATAAAAGATCTAATTGGAGAGATTTAGAAGTCTACATGTTCCATGGCTAATTCATTTCAATGTATGACAAAAACCACTGCAATGATGTAAAGTAATTAGCCTCCAACTAATAAAAATAAATGGAAAAAAAAAAAACTTCAGCATAAAAAAAAAAGTCTACATGTGTAAAAAGTGCATAATAAATCAAACTCGGAAAAATTAAAAACAGTATATAACGAGGCATTAATGCACACGGCAAGTACAAAAGAAAAGGTAGAAAAAAGAGTTCAGTGTGAGCTGGCATTGTTAGGGAAAGCTTCACGAAGAAGGAGGGACTTGACATAAGACATAAATCAACTGGAAGGCAGCCAAGCCAGGCGTTATTATTCATCATTTGGTGCACTTGCCTTAAGGCACAATTGGCACAGATTGTGGTATTCCCTCTCCACACCAAACCGGCCTGTGCCTTCCCCCACGCACGCACTTACACACACACACACACACACACACACACACACACACTAACCACTCCTATCACACCCAATCAAGGCAAAACAGACACGAAACCCAGTCATTTATACGAGGGCACACACACGCCACAACTTTTCCTATTTTTGCCCTCTGTCAAACTCAGAAATAAAACCGAGAAACAGGCAGAGAACTGGAGGAGTGGCTGGAGTGAGGAAGTCACTAGAACCCAGTTCCTCAATTAGTTTGCATAATAGAAAAAAAAGTAAAGATTGGCAGGACACTTCCTCCAGTCCCTCAGCAAGCGACCTACAGCTTCACCATTCACCTCACGATGCCCCCGGGTGATGCCCCGGTTCTCAGGCACTCTGCACCCCACCACCGTCGGGGAAACCGCCCGGATCCCAACTCAGGACTCCGCCTGGGCGTAGAACGACGCTCGGATCCCGGCCGGGGGTCCGAGGGACGCCTCCTGCCGGCCGCGGCGGTTTGCGCAGCTCGGCGCTCGGGATCGCACGAACTGTGCCCGGCGCAGCCCATTCGCGGCCAGATCCCGGGTGTTCCCGAGGATCCCACCCCCTCCTGCTCCTATACCCCCGGGCCAGCCTCCTCCCACCCACCCAGCGACCCCCCGCCCCGGCTGCCCTCCCCCTTCCAGAAGCCACTCGCGGCGCCTTAATTTCTTTCTTTCCTCGACCGACCTTCCCGAAAAGACGTCCTGCGAGACTCGGGAGGACCGACCTGAGCAGAGCCGAGGAAACGCAGAGGGCGTTTCTCGGGCTGGCCGGGAGGAAGGCGAGGACTTTAAAGTTAATCTGAAAACAGCTTGCAAACTTCTGGGCTGCAGCCGCAACGCGGGTCTGCCGGAAGGCTCCCCTCAGCCGCCGCGCTCTCCCCCGCGCTGTGCGCCTCAGAACGCCAGGGGTCTGCCCCGCAGGGGCGACCGCATAGACGCGCCCCCGAGCCTCCCTTATTTAGTGGAAACGCGGAGCCGCCGGCGGCCTCGACTAAACCCAGTGTCTTACTCCAATTTATACACCTGCCAGAGACCCGAAGTGACTAGAAGTGTAAATCAATGCCATCCTAATGTTGAGTGGATCCAAGTGAATTCGGTACAAAAAGGTAGTCTAAACACCAATCACCACAGATCGGTGAAAGCAGGCAACAAGGCCGGCACCCCCTTCCGCGACCACCATCCCAGCGAGAGTCCCTCACCGGCCCCTCAGAACCGAGTCCTTTACCTGAAACGGGCTATCTGAGAGAACGGACCACAGGCGCTGAGCCGGACGACGCCGGGTCGCAGGCAGTGTTCGCGCCACCGGCTGGGCGAGGAGGGTGGGCTCCGGCGTCTAGGAGTCACAGACTCGAGAAGCGGCGAGCGGCACTCGGGCCATTCTGCCGCGGGGAGCGCAGAAAGCCGCGACTGCACTCCCGAACCAGCTCGCTTGCCTGTCACCTCGAGCTCTGCTTTAAAGTGGCTTCCGGTCGCCTCCTCTCAGCAGCCCTGTCGCGGAGGCGGAGCCTAAGCGGCAGGGGGTGGGGTGGGGTGAGGGGACCGGGAGCTCAGTGGGTGCCGGGAAGGCGGCCCGCCCCGCGTGCGCGTGCGCGCTCGCTCGCGAGGAGGCGCGCGCGAGGTGTGCGTGCGGGGCCGCGTGCTCCCTGGAGGAGGCGTGTCCTCTCGCCTCCTGCTGTGGGCTGGAGGGTCCGCGTCTACACGCGTCTAGGGTCGAACAGCTGTGAGGAGGGGAGGCGCGCGCCGCGTGGGTGGGGCGAGCTCCACCTGCCTGCGGACAGATGGAGGGTCACTTTGTTCTGAGGAAACCCGAGGGAGGATGTGAAACAGAACAACCCGTTTTTGTGCGGTTGGCTTTGTTTATTTGCCTCCTCACCAGAGGCCTCCTGCCGCTGAAGCCGCCGACCCCGAGACGAGGTTATCGGCTGCTATGGCTGCTGCGGCCAGACGGGGTCGCCCGCCCCGTTCCGGACGGGCGGGCTCGCACCGCACTGGGGCGAGCGCTTGCCGACCTGGTTGCAGGCATTCAGGTTTCACGGGAAACATTCGCAGCATTGCAGAAAGGAAACTTAGTTTTGGGGTGTTGAGCTATAAGCACGTTTATGTGTGTTTTAAAGGATACAAACACCATGATGACTTGTCTCTTCATTCAACAAATATTTTTCGAGTGCGGATTGCATGCTGAGGGCGAAGTGGACGCTTAGACTACAGTCCTGATCAGCCCAGACACCTTCCCTGTCCTCATGGAGCTTTCGTAGCAGCATGTACTCGCCTCTAAAATATTTGGCGTATATCCGAATTTGCAATATTTTCTGGATTGTAAAACATCCTGGATGGTGAATCAATCTATTGAATATTTCTTCAGCGGTGGAGGAAGAAGCACTATTCATATAATCACTATATATGGAGAAAGTAGGCCCTGGTCAAAGTCAAGGAAAATTAATCATGACTGTATCCCCATTAGCTGGTAGAAAAACGAACACAGCTCCCAAAGAGTTGCTCTCCTGTGACCTGAAATCTAAAGTGCCTTAATTCCTTAGCTTGGAGCCATTATGGGCTGAAAAAGTCAGTATTAATATAACCTTATCAAGCTCGTTAAAAAATAAGAAGGGATAACAATAAATATTATGGTTCCAAGCCTTACTTAAACTGTTCTAAACCAAACTGAGTGACACACCAGCAAAGAAAAGATTAAGGGTAGTATCTCCCCTAGCACCCTGGGTTTCCTAGGTGGCTCAATGGCAAAGAATCTGCCTGCCAATACAGGAGACACGCGTTCTAACCCCTGAGTAAGAGAGATCTCCTGGAGAAAGAAATGGCAACCCACTCCAGTATTCTTGCCTGGGAAGTCCCATAGCCAGAGGAGCCTGGCAGGCTACAGTCCATGGGGTCGTCAAGAGTCAGAAACGACATAGTGACAATATGTTCCCCCAGCAGGCCTATTTCACATGGCATCAAGGCAGGGTCTTTAAGGTGAGAATGTTATAGACAGGATTCAGAAACTACTAAGTAAAAGACAAGAATTTTCAAGCTTTAAAGATTGTACTGAGGG